TATGAAAGAGAAAGAATGTGGTCTGATTGTGGGTGAAGTTTTACATCTTACATTTTGCAGGACATGTGGCTATTGCATTGGTTCGCCCTGATTTATTGAACCACACTGCTAATCCATTAGAAATGGTGTAACTCTATTCTCACATTTTTTTGACAGCCCGGCATTTCTCCGAATTTAGTGTTGAGTTTCACACTAATCATGACTTCTACGTATTGACTGACAGTCCTATTCCCAATATAAAACATTCTAAATGTAACATTAAAATATCAGATTACACCATTTCTAGTATCTATGTGCATTTTAATCTTGCAACACTGATGATAAATATTTAATGCTAAACATTAAAGGGATAATTTGGAACTTCTGGAAAAAATATAAGGTTCTTTGTAAATAATAACTATTATCTGGTTTAATGAAGCTGAAAATTAGACACATTTGACACAACAAATGCATACAAATTTAAGACCTCAACACTACATTAGTTTTAAGGATAAAATTAAAAGGCCAGTACAATTTCCCAAATGTGTACTGAATATTATTTACTTTAACAAACTATCCCATGATAAATGAAATCAGGGGCACCTTTAGACAGTACATAAAATGAAAGATAAATGTTGCCAAACATATCTATGACTCTGCTCCACAAAAAAAAAATAGAATAAAAACAGTATTTTCCATTCATAAGAACTACAATTGTTACTTCATGAAAAAAAAAATTTTGACATAGGCATCAGTTAAATAATATATTATTTTGCAGAACAAAGCTCCTTTGAACAGTTCAAAATGCTCCAACTTCGGGATTTTGTTAAAAGTGCAGTCAAATGAAAGTACTTAGTCCTCTCAGAAATTAAACTTTATGTTACAAAAAGGGTCTGTTGCTGTTCTCAAAATCACCAGGTGATTATAGGATGAGAAAATTTCCATTAGCCATCAAGTGTAGCAACTGAAGAAAAGAGTCCAAAAGAATAACAAAGAGGATACTTTATCAAAGGCATGATCTATGGAAAAAGTAACTGTCACTAAGGTGTAAAAAAAAGGTTCATCATTGAAAAACATTACCTGTTGTGTTAGTGATAAAGGGCTTAAGCACATACAATACAAAGAGCAGGAACAAGAGGGTAAGTGTATAAGGGCAATTGTACCTCCTTGGTGAGGCCTAAAAACATCCCCTACTTACATGAAACAGGTGTTCACTTATTACATGGAAAATGTTTCTTGACTTTCACAACTCTTTGAACAAATCAACACGTTATGAATTTTCAAACATAGGATGGGTAACTTCTTTTATTCTTTTTTTTGTTTTGTTTTTGTTTCTTTGCTTTTTAACGGTGCCTTTCAGCAACTATCTGTAGTTAGGAAAGGAAACTGCCAAACTTGGACTACCGGAGACCACATACTCATGAGCAAATTCATAGAAAGTCCAGGGTTAAGAAATCTCAGTCTTCTCTCAGTGCTAAATACGAGGTGTGATCAAAACATGTGACCTCGGTGCACTTCATTCCACCTACTTGCTGTGGCCCCCAGACCAAACATCCATCATAGCAGTCACCACCTTGGCCATCTCCCATGACTCTCCGAGGCCAACAGAATGAAATCCTAGAACATTGTCCTGATGTTCAAAGCCCTGGATGGCCAGGCCTCTGAACCAACTGATTCCAACTTTACCACTCCATACTCTCCTTGACAGAGGACGGCTCCCTCGCTTGTCACATCCTTCCTAGTTCCTATATCATTACAAAGAAATTCTATGAGAAATATACGTCAGACCTAATCTGACTGAGGTGAAGGTGCTGATAAAGACCTCAGCAGAGACATAATATGGGAACCACCTATCATGTTGACACCACTGCTCAACTCAACAAGAGTTTCTGGGAAAGCCATAAACAACTAAAAAATTCCTTATTTGTTGCCTCACCAGGCTGATCAAGGACAGACTGTTCATAAAGATGACTCTGCAAGCTGCCAACTGATCAGTTTACCCAAAAAATGTATAAGCAAGGGCCGCTGTCTATTTTCTGCGATGTTTTCTCCTTCACTATTGGAAGACAATTTCTTGGGTACAGAATTCTAGGTTAGTATTTTTTTTTTCCTCTTAACACTTTAAATACTCTACTCTCTTCCTGACTACATGATTCCCGAGAAGTTGGATGTAATTCTTACCTCAGCTCCTCTATAGGCAAGGAGGTTTTCCCCCTCTGGCTTCTTTCAAGAATCTTTTTTTATATTTGATTTTCTGCAATTTGAATATAGTATTCCTAGCTATAAAGTTTTTTTGGCGTTTATCCTGCTTGGTATTCCCTGATCTTCCTGGATCTGTGGTCTGATGTCTGACATTAATTTGGGGAAATTTTCATCTATTACTATGCCAAAGGAATTGTTAAAGGGGAGGTTTTTCAGAAATACAATTGTGAACAAATACCATTCTGTGAACAATTTAAAAGCACTAAAAAGCCACTTTCTGTGATAATATAGCCTAATTGTTTCATACTTTAGTGTGTATCAGAATCACATGGAGGGCTTAATAAAACACAGATTGCCAGGTCTCACCCTAAAAAGCTTCTCAATCTACCCTGCACAACACCATTGCACCAGGTTGTGAGGCACCAATGGAGTGAGTCTAAGAAGAATAAGTATCAATGTTGACAGATAAAAATCGGGGGAACTGAGTATGACTTTTCCTTAGTCCAAGTTAATCAAAGTGAAATCTTTCATAGAGGTTCTCCTCATGGACCTCCATAGTTACTAAGCCCACAAACTTGTACTCAGGTCCATATTCAACGTGGAAAGTGCTTCCTTCTACCTCAACCATTCAACCCAACTCCTATTTGTACCAGAAGGTACAAACTGGCAGGCTAATATATATTCAATTATCTGGAATAGGGTAGAAAAATGTATAAAACCTGAATGTGTCTCAATATTCACTCATTTTTTTAAAGATTCTATTTATTTATTTGAGAGAGAGAGAGCACATCAGAGGGGGGAGGGTCAGAGGGAGAAGCAGACTCCCTGCTGAGCAGGGAGCCCGATGCGGGACTCGATCCTGGGACTCCAGGATCATGACCCGAGCCGAAGGCAGTTGCTTAACCAACTGAGCCACCCAGGCGCCCCTCAATATTCACTCATTTATATACACAAACAGTATTTGATATCTGTTATCTTCTAGTCATGTTTCTCGGCTCTGAACAACAAAACAGACAAGACTGTTCCTGTTAAGAAGCTCACATTCTACTGGAAGAAACAGACTCTCCATTTTATATATATACAATTTATATATATAATTATATATAATTTATATATATAATTCAATAGCAAAAATGCTATTGAAAAGAACAGAGCAAGAAAGAGAAAGATGGAAGGATACGCTATTTTAGAGGGTACTGGGAAAGCTTCTCATATAAAGTGATATTTGAGCAGGGACTTAAATGAAGTGAGAAATGGAATCATGAAGATAAATAGGAAAATAATAGTCCAAGCAGAAGGTAGCAGAGAAAAATGCAAAAGCTTTGTAAAAACATAAACTCAGTGTTTTTTTTTTAAAAAGGAAAGAGACCAGTGCCTGTAATGTATTATATTGAAAAATGCAGCAAACTCTTTGAAATTAACTTGTATAGACCCTTTTGTTGGTAAAAATAGAACCATAATTTTAAAACAAATGAATATACTAATTTCTAATATATGTACATATTTTATACTACTTTGGTTAAAGTGTTACTCCTCAGCAATCTAATAATTTGCACTTTGTTTTTTATATTTTTGAAAGGACCAAATACAGTTTTATAAAATATGAATCTTATTCAATTGCAGATTAAGTCAAATTATTTTGATATTATCAGCACATCAATTAGAAGGTACTAAAATATTCCACATTTACTGTTGTCTAATACCAATATATCAATATATCTGTTTCAATCTTGATGTCACTATGTTTGTTGAAGTAATGCCTTCAAGTTAAGAGCAACCATAATTCAAAGTCTCATTTTATTTATTTATTTACTAAAGATTTTATTTATTTGAGAAAGAGAGAGGGAGGGAGCATGAGAAGTGGGGAGTGGCAGGCAGAGGTAGAAGCAGGCTCCCCACTGAGCAAGGATCCTGATGTGGGACTCGATCCCAGGACCCCGGGACCATGACCTGAGCTGAAGGCAGATGCTTAACTGACTGAGCCACCCAGGTGCCCTGAAAGTCTCATTTTAAATCACACTCTTAAATCTTCTGACTTCTAAAGTTTAGATTAAACTCTGAGGGTTCAGTATAGGAAATAAATGTAATGACTTAAACACAACCCCTTCTGAACATAAGAGGTTTGTGTGTACTTGGAAGAGGGGGGCTGAATTGAAGCCGCAGAAACAACCAGCACACACACTGTCATCCATCTCACTACAATCCAGTGGTTATGATGGAGGAAAAAAATACACTATACTAGCAATTTGGAACTTAAAAAAAAAAAAAAAACAACTGAAGGCTCTTAAGGTGGAAATTTATAGAGCCTCATTCCACAAGCACAGAACCAGGGAGTGGCCACCTGAACACTGGAAGTCTCTCTATGAACACGCACTTGTCTCAGTATTTGGACCTAATATGACGGACCTCCCCCAAAATTCATGAAGCATTACTGCATTTAGTGATTTCCAACACGACTGTCACAATGACATGTAAGATGTTTTCTAGTCAAATTCCACTTGATATCAACTAAGTACACACAGGTTTGAGCATGTCACCTAAAATTTAATTCTTTATAGAGCCGAAAATACCAGCAGTGATATTAAGACTATCTTTTGTAGAGCAACTCTACATAATTTTTATCACTTACTCTTCAAAATACATTAAAGAAGCATCTTTTATTATTTCCATTTTACATGTTAAGGAAACTGATCTTGGGAAGATGTTAAGAGATCCTTTTTGCAGAAAAGAGTCAGGTCTAGAATCCATGGATTCTGAGTCCAATTCTATATTGTCACACTAAAATTAGTAATAATTTCTTTAAAGAAAAAAATTCTCACCTTGGTGACAGTTTTTCCATATAATATGTCGGGCATTCTCATAATTTGTGTTCATCCAACTAAGCAGAATCCTTTCAGAATTAGAATATATGTTGCTGGATAAAAAACAAGGATTGACTTTTGGTGAATTCTGTACATGTATGGGGGGCATGTTACTGCTGCAATGTGGTACAACCCGGGATAGTACCAGAACCTGAAATTGGGAAAAAGAGAGAACCTTTATTAGACCTGAATGGCAAAATTAAAAATTAATATTTGAAGAGTAAATAAAGGAAGGCATCAGTATTTTCTGGTCAACTACATCCATATAAGACTAAAAGAAATCAGAAGACCCCCTACAATAAAGATGAAAGTCAGAGGACATGTAATAACAACTTACCTACCCAAATCTCAGCTATGTTTGAAATCCTCATGGAGGTGGGCCAGCAAGCACATAATGCATAAGTAAATATTCTGAACTACAATCTGTGAAATCTCAAAGTCTGTAAGCTAACTTTCTCCCACTTAATTTATAAAAACCTGTTTGTGCACTCTAAGTCAGTGCCTATTTGGTTTTATTTCATAGAAAATTCTTCTAAGTCGGATATCTAGTTTTTTAGGTTACAACAAATGACAAGTAATAGGAAAAAATAGGAGAGTAATGAAAAGCAATAGACAATAGTCATATGACAAGAGAATAAAGACACAAACTATTAAAAGCTAAAAAATACTCCATATGTCTGTTTATGTTTAAAGAAAATAATATTTTAACAGTAATGATTGGTCTCATGATGAATAAATAGAATAGCAATCAAAAAATGTCATGTACTTCCCCATCAAAAAACTGAATAACATGTAGATCATGACATAAAGTGAAATTTTAATTTTACTAATCTGTTACAATTTTACAGAATGTTCTAAACTGTGTATAAATCATTCTAGTAAATCTTAACTCAAATGTATCCCAAAAAGGCACAATTAATTTAAGTAGGAATTAGAAAAACTCAGATCAGATTTAATTTTTAGAAGCTTACCTTCCCTTTGATCAGATTAAGTGGAAGAGTATCACAAACACTGCTCAAACATACCATAAATGTTTATCACCCTAACAAAATTTCTTGCAGTCATTTAAGTCTAAATATTATCAAGATCACAAATTTGTTGTAAAAAGAATATAATTTAAGTCCATGGAGTAAGAATTACAAAAACTAATAATTTTTAAAAAGCAGAATAGAGAAAGAAAATTTAAAAAGAAGTATTCAAGCTTGTTCATCAACAGCCCCAACCAAAGAGGACCACCTGGAAGTGATCTGGTGGTGAAGACACAAGCTTCAGTTAGGACAGGAGGTAGAGAGAAAACTCCAAGAGACTGAATCTACAGGCGAGTTTCCTGGTGGTGGAGGGCACAGCAGCAATCTGACCTCAGCTCTAAGGCATAGCACACATCAACCAAGGGGATCACTACAGGGGTTCCAGGAAACCTGAGATGCACCTGTTCCTGATTTAAAGATAAAGCCCTGCAAGCCTAGAGATCTCTTTCCCTTGTCTTCTCACTCCTATTACCCATAGGGGCTCCTGGCTTCTTAATCATCTCTTATCAGATCTCTTTCCTTCTCAGCCTATACACTAGTTTTTCTCAGAAGATACATCATCATTACTTGAAAGAGCAAAGGGATGACATCCTAAATGAGAGCACTGCAGTGTCCTACCACGTGTCCAAAAGTTCTTGCATCTACACTCACTTTTCTTCCTTCTCTACAGCCACAACAGGTGAGCTATCCCTTCGCTTGCACTAGATACCAAACCTATTCATCCTCTTTGGGACAGTCCTGCATCAGTTGCCTTTTTTTTAGCTTTTGGATCTTTAACTTCACCCTTCTCACCAGTTCCTTTTCAACAATATCAAAACATGCTACTTACATTCAGCTTTTAGAGAGCTCTCCCAAACTTGGATTCCCCCTGATTCTTTTATCTGTTCCCTCTACCAGTTATAACCCATGAAAGAGTTCTCTACCCTACTGTCTCCACTTTTATTCCTTTTGTTCATCAAACTGAAGCCCACCTAATAACATTTCCCCAATTCCTCACTACCCCCACACCCTGAAGGTGCCTTTGGCATCTTTGTTGTCCAATACAACAGGGAATTTTTAACTGTTATCTTAAGCAACCTCTCAATTTCATTTGATAACACGTCCTCCCTCAAAGGCTTTCTTCCCCCCTTGTTCATGACACCATAAAGTATTACTGCTATCTTTTTGTCTATTTCGAGTTCATTGCAGGATTCTCTTCCCTTACCTATTTAAATACTGGGTTGCTTCAATATTGGGTTTCTAACCTATGCCATCTTTTCTTTAAACTTTTTAGGTGTGTTTCTCCCAATTTTATCTCCCAGAGACCACTAAATATGCATTAAGAAACCACAAAGACCACCAATTGTTGTGATTAAAAAATAAGGATTCAACACAATATTTAGAACATTATGTTAGTAGTAGTGAGAATAATTATAGCTTCATATCAGTGAGATGAATGATATAGTTACCATATTTATCAAGGTATCTACATTTAACCAGATGATGAATGTATTGAGTTCTATATCACTTTATATATTCAGTAATTTCTTTTCTTACTCTCTATTTCCACTAAATGAGAAAAGCCTACTTCATAATTACAGATTAACAGAATAGATGCTCAGTTTGATTGTTATGGATAGGCCCAAAACGAAGCCAGAAATTATACAGATTTTTTTATTAAAATATACTTCATCTACTTTAAAATACCAACCAAATGCTAAGCTGGTTGATGAGCAAATCACACTCAAAAGCCAAAGGTAAAAATACTCAACTCGGGGAATAGCATTAAAGATAATAGTACTCTACTCTTCAGTGGCATTCGTCTTTGGGAAAAGTTTATTTGGCTTCCATTGCCAGGAGCAATTAGAAAGTGGCACACTCTCTGAGAAACTGTTATCCTGATCGTACCCTTATTTAAAGTAAAAGCCCCCCCCTTAATTTGTTGAGACACAGCTTCCAATAGTGTCCATAGTCTTAGGGAGCAGCATGTAGGCTGCATTTCAGCTCCCAATCATCAACTCAGCTATGCAGAAACTACATTACCATATTCACTTGATCTGTCCATTCAATAATTCAATATATTTTATTATTTTTTCTTTTTTTCTTTTTTTTTATTAACATATAATGTATTATTTGTTTCAGGGGTACAGGTCTGTGATCCATCAGTCTTACACAATTCACAGCACTCATCGTCAATACACTCTTTTTTCAACCAATCTTGGGAAAAAGCCAAATTTTTGATGCTTCAGTGTTTTCTACCACATTGAAAATCATGATATTCAAATTCTATAGGTATATGTCCAAGACATGGAAAGCATTACCTGATGGATCATTTGAACTAGCCACTTAAAAAGATGAGAATGATAAATACAGAAAAACATCAGTGCTAGGAATATACTATTTTTAATCTCACTCCTGTTGGAAAAATGCATGTGAGAGTGACCTTCTCTTCATAACCAGCACATCTCAAAATTGGAAATAAAGGTCTTGAATTTATAGAGATCATGATGCAATTAGGTAACTCAGTAGCCTTACTTTGATAGTATTTACCATTTTTTCTATTTAACAATGAATTCACAACAGAAGCATATTTTTAATCACCTCCATTTCTCTATGAATAAAGGTTCATTTGCAACACCCCTTCTTGTGACCAATGGCTAACTGTCTATCAATATCTACCACCAACTGATTTTCTCCAGTTTACATTACAAATTAATCTTAAATTAACGACAAAGAATCATTCCTCCAAGAGCATGGGCTTTCACTGATAAAGAGAATAAAACATCATCATTTCTTTCTTTCTTTCACATATTTATCACACACATGCAAATGTGTTCATACATTCCCTTATATCCAACCAAAGCATGCAATATTTGCTATCACATGTGAGAATAACTGTTTCCAAGTTGCATGCCACTGACATAATGGGACATCCTGCAAAGCCATGTAATAAAAGAATTTCATGAATTTTATTTTCTTTCCAATCATGTTTTATTGAAGCTCATTTTAAATATTCCTCACCAGGGCACTTTGGTGGCTCAGTCAGTTAAGCGTTCGACTCTTGGTTTTGGCTCAGGTTGTGATCTCAGGGTCGTGAGATCGAGCCCCACGTTGGGCTCCACACTCATCACAGAGTCTGCTTGAGTTTCTCCCTCTCCCTCTTCCCCTACCCCCCCACCCGCTCTCTCTCTCCCCCTAAAATAAATAAATAAATGAATGAATGAATAAATAAATCTATCTTTCAAAATAAATAAAAATAAGTAAATATTCCTCACAAATATGATCCTCTGTCCTATCTTTGCTCATCTTCTACAGAGGCAGGAAATTCTAAATAATGCCTCAGTAGAATTGGTGTCTTGCCTACCTTTAGCAGCAAATATTCCAATTTCATAACAAAGAGATTTTGAATTGGTTTGGGGAAAATGTGTTTAATTAACCAGAAAGATCACTGCTCTTCGTTTAAAAATATCAAAATATTTGACACAGTTGTGCCACTATTAAAAAAAAAAACTTATGACAGACAGTACACTGAGAACTAATGAATAAACAGTTTACCTGAACTTATTATTCAGATATTTATTACTGATCACCTTTTTCTTGCCTAGATTCTTCAGTAAAAATATCATATTCACCTCTTTCGGCACATATAGACTCATCCTTTATATCCACAGGAAAGCCCTATTTATATTTACACTTAAAACAGCACTCTGAATTAGAGTGTTTCTGTTATTGTTTTTCATCTCTCTTGTGCTTCAATGACCCATTTTTAGCCATCAATACATTTTTGTGAATTGGGAACATAATGCAAGGAAATAGTAACAATTAAACATGAAAATTTAACAAACAAAAATAACCAAATGACACAAAATCAAATTGGGCAAGACAAACTATATCCTTTATCCAAACTATTAGCCAAGAAGAACTGACAAAGGTGGTCCTGGAGTGCACGCATGACCTCTAGGAAAAAGAAAATGAAAACCTAAAGGGATGTGTGTGAAAATCACCATCTTCTATTTCCAACGTGTGAAACTCATCTCAACATTGCTTGCTTTCACAAGAGAAATTGCCAATCCGCTTCTGATTTAATAGAACTCCTGGAGCTACCCATGCTTTAGACACAATACACGGAGAAACACAGCTCTGCAGATGACCTACCAGGGCAATCTTACCTATTCCTATGACTTACATGGAATCAGTGAAGAATCACAAACATGTGCTGCCACCCAGATCTCTTTCCTGACTGAGGGATATACCCACCTGGTAGTGACACAGGGCACCATTATACAGCATAACCAAAATTAATTTATTATGCCTTCTTACCCTATCTCATCCTCCACCCCCAACAAAATCTTTTTTTTTTTTTTTAAAGATTTTATTTATTTATTTGACAGAGAGAGACACAGCGAGAGAGGGAACACAAGCAGGGGGAACGGGAGAGGGAGAAGCAGGCTCCCCGCCGAGCGGGAAGCCCGATGCGGGGCTCGATCCCAGGACCCCGGGATCATGTCCTGAGCCGAAGGCAGACGCTCAACACCTGAGCCACCCAGGCGCCCCACCCCCAACAAAATCTTATTAACATCCCTTGTCTTGTTATTTCAGTGACTGGGATCAAATTCCATTCAGTCATCCCAGCAAGACCCAATGTCATCTTTTAGCTCTTTGTCTCCTTCACCCACTGAGATCTAGTCATAAACCAAGTCCTTCTGAGTTCTATTCCTAACATTTAGGAAAGCTGCCCCTTTCTAATCTTTCCCACTACCACCAGTATTCCCGGCACCAGGCGTTTAAATACCTCTCCAAACAGTTTCCACATGGTACCACAGTGATTTCTCTAGGATGCAAAGCTAATTATGTCAGCTTCATGTTTAAAATCCTTCAGGAACTCCCAAAACTAATGATGTAATGTGTGGTGATTAACATAACAGTGAAAAAATTTAAAAAAAAAAAGAAGAAGAAAACAATGAATCCTTTTAGGATAAAGGGATTTTTGGAAAAAAAAAAAAAAACAAAACCTTCAGGAACTCTGTACTGACCCTGGGCTAAAGTCCATAAAGTCCAGATTCCCTGGTATGGCTTATGAAGTATGTTCCACTGACTGCTTCACCTTGCCTGGAAAATTCCTAGTTATTTCTCAGGTCAGGTTAAATTGATTTTCTTCCTGGAAACCTTCCCCAATGCACAGGTAAGATAGGATCCTCTCTGTGTGCACTCACCCTTAGTTCTTTGGGCTTACCTTAACATAGCATTTGTCATAGTTCCTTGTAATTATATATGAGTAGTTACTTATATACTTCAAGACACAAAATCCTGGAAAAGAAAGACTCTATCAAGTTTACTCTTAAACCCCCAGAGCCTAGGACAGTGCCTACACCAAAATAGTTGTTAAGTAAATTTATTCAACAAGTATTTGTTGTACAACAAGTATTTGTACATACTATGTAGCTGACACACTGTCAAATTCTGAGTTTACAAGTAATACTTGGTTTTTAAATTCATAGACTTATTAAGTTGGGAAAGAGACATTAGATGACGTAAACATATTCATCAATGCATGCATGAATGAATAAATGAATGAGTGACTAAAGCCCACAAACCAAAATTAGGTCTAGTTTGTCCATTAAGTAGGGCATTTGCTGCCCTTCTGTTTTAAGAGTTGCTCCTATCAATGGGCAAAATTATAGATGATACAGCCTGGAGTTAAGAAAGCAAAGAAGAAAATGTCTTCTCCCAAATCCAAGTTTGGCTGAGAGTCACGAATACCCTCATATATTCTTCAGGGAATTACTCAAGAAAAAACAGGATTTCTCCCCCTTGACATCTGGCAAAAAAAAGGCAGGGCTGGCTGATGGAAGAAGAGGAAAGAAGGAGTGAGTAGGAATCATGCAGTAGAAAGAACTCTCTAGAGGGTAGGATTGGTAGCTGGCTGCAGTGGAGGCTTTAGGCTACCAGAGAGCAGCAAGGGGGCCTTGGGCTTCTGGGCCCCAGCAGAGAACAAGGAAGAGATAAGCTCTATCTACATCAGATGGTTTTATATGGCTAAAATCAGATGATCTGGGGAGACACAATGCACGCCTGTGGACCTTTATTTCCTCATGTCTAAACAGGAGATTACTGCTTGTGAAGATTAAACAAGCTCACATTTAAAAAGCCTCTCGTGGTGAAGAGTCTGACATAAACTACACACTGTTTAGTTACTAATTTTGTCCTTTCCTTTCAGTGATTAATTGCTACTTTTCTTTAACTTCTCCCTCATTTTCACTCTCTTGTCCCACAGCTCACCCTACCTGTGCTTTCAACCTGTGAAAACAGAGCAAAAGCCTCCACAGGTCTTAGTGGGGAAGATCTGTAGGGTCACATTTGGAACCCTAGGGAATAAGTCTCAGGACTGAAACCAGCACTTTTTTATGCAATGAAGGGGCAGGATGTGAAGGCATAATTTATGCTGTGTTAATCTACCTACACATGCGATTTGGCATGGAATAAACTGGAGAGTTTCATCAAAACTTGGTCTCGCCTGCTGGTATATGATTCCTAGTGAATATCTCTCCAGAATAACATTTATAGCAAGAGTGTAGTATGTAGTACAGGTAGAAAGCATAATTTTCACTATCATCCATTCTTTAATCCTTCCTTTTAGTACCAGAAGAGGACTGTAGGTACCTATTTTAGGGACTACATTTCTAAATATTCCCTGCAGTGAGGTACAATCATATGACTAAACTCTGTCCAAAGGAAATGATGCATTTTTTAGGTGACATCCTTAAACAGTTTTTACTTTGCCTCCACTAGTCCCTGATGTGTTCTTCCTTGTTCTGAGAAACCGTCCCAGAGATGAAAGCCCAGGACTGAGGGTGGAGGACACACCCCACTGTCTCTAAACCACTTATTTCTCAACAGTTCCCTGAGAAAGAAAAAAAAAAAAACAACTCTATCTTATTTGAGCCACCGTATTTTTTAATTCTTTAATCAGCAGCATCACCTATACCTTAACTTATACACTATTCAGGTAAAGAAACCAAAACAAACAGCAGTGAACAAGAGTGGAAATGTTACCTTGTATATCTGAAGGAATACATCTGTCCATGCCCGTTTACTCCAGGCTTCAAACTGAGTCATATCTATAACAATAGAGTGCTTTTCCTTAGGTATACAGGAACATGCAGGCAAGGTATTAGTGAAAGAATTTAAGAAATAAAATATTACAACATTAATTAAAATGCAAGGCAAATATAAGTTCAAAGTTTTAACTACTTAGCATATAAGGTTTTTTTTTTCTTTTTACAAACTTTTGCATGCCCTATCTATACGTTCATCAAGATCACTAATTCCCCATGTGCCAGTAATAGAAACTATCAACAGAGGTAACTTTCTGGAACACATAGCCCCTTACTGAGGTCACAGATTTATTCATTCAATGTACCTACTAGCTTATGTGGCAGAAGTGGCAGAATGAGATGCAAAGTTATTCGGAACTCTGAGTCCCAAAAAGAAACACATCCTTTGGATAAGCCACAGGAACTCAGCAGAGTATCAAAGGACGGGCCCCTGGGGGGGCACCTGGGTGGCTCAGTTGGTTGAGGGTCTGACTCTTGATTTTGGCTCAGGTCATGATCTTGCAGTTATGGGGTCGAGGCCCATGTCAGGCTCCACACTCAGCGGGGAGCCTGCTTGAGATTCTCTCTCTCCCTCTCCCCCTCTCCCCATTCTTGCACATGTGTGTTCCCCCTCTCTCCCCCTCACAAATAAATAAATCTTAAAAAAGAAAAGGATAAGCCCCTGGTTCTGTTCACGTCATGTGGTGCGTATAGTAACAGAGCCATGACTATAGCAGAGTTGCCTCAAAGCCTGAAGCCTTCTCCAAGCAATTCCCCTTCTCAAAGGGTTTTCCATAAAATGAACTGTAGACTTTGAAAAAAACTAGACATATCTTGCTTAATTTCTGCCTATTCTCCCCTTTAACTAAAGAAGGGAAGTGGCAAGGGGTGGGAAAATTAAACCAATATTTTCCTTGGAAGATACATATTCTAAAAATTTAAGAAAACATTTACATAAGCACACAGAATTCTTCATTTCTAGATCCCCTAAAAGAAGCAATTACTTATATATTTAAGAAAGCCATGTAATAATTTCTACATAGCATAGAGGCCAAGGGCAGGCTGCCCCAAGATGGGTCACTTTGGCACAAAGAATGAGTTTGAAGGGGTTTGGGACAGGTCCCCCCAAAATATGCCACTTTGGCATGTGGACTATTTTCAGCTGAAGGCAACTGAGATCTGCTGGGCAAAAGAGAAACTTTTGCCCCTCCCTTAACTCACAGAAGAATCTAAATTGGAGGCGGGGGGGGGGGGTCTTTCCCAGAATAAGCTTTATTAGGAGAGATAAATTTTATCTGAGTGACCCATCTGTATAGCAGGGCAAACATCTAATTACGAAACATCTGTTCTTAGTACACTGTGAGGTGTATTCCTTCCCTTTGAAGTCCCAGGCTCCCACCCCTTCTCCTTAGTTCAGAATGACATAAATACCTCATTTCACCTGTCTTTGGAATTTCCAGGTCTGTGTGGATTCCCCTTACATATGCTATTAAATTTGATTTTCTCCTGTTAATCTGTCTCATGTCAGTTGGATTCTTAGTCCAGCTAGAAGAACGTTGAAAGGGACAGGATATTCTTGCTCCCCAACAATAGGAACTCCACAAAGATTTTTAGACAGATATAAAAATGTGTGTGTATATACATAAATATCTACATATATGTATATATATACATTTAAATATTTAACACACACATATAAATAAGCTGTCCAGAGAGGCATAATCCATAGGACATTTCATAAATAAAAATATCAAGATTTTATAATGAAATCTTCTAACAATGACCAAAGATCAGTCAACTCAATAACTATGCAGATTGTTCCCTAGAAATTATATTCCCTTACTGTAATTTCAATCCACTTTTTATAATCTTCTGGTTCAAGCAGAAATTCTGGCAGCACATGAGAAATACATGCTCCTTGAGCGCTAAAAGCAAAAAAGAAAAATTCAGATTATAGTATAATACAGTTTGTATATCACCTGCATTTGAACTTCAATTAAATTATTTCAATATCATAGTTTATATGTGTATTGAATTTTAATTTTTAAATTTAAAATTTATATAATTAGCTTTAACATTTCCCTTAACAAGGAAATGTGCATATGATGTTTCCTTTAGAGAATTAATAATGAGAAAGAACTTACTAAGTGCCTACAATCAGCCACATCTATCCTTATATGATAACGGAATATAGCGAGTTATATGACTTGGCTAACCATTTTATTGTTGTATAACATAAAATTGAAAAATATCTGGAAAAACTTTGAATACAATAAAGCATCAAACAGATCATTAGTTACCCAATGCTCAGTGAATGCCTATCACAACACATACCTGAATAAAGAAAACCCCCAATATAACATAATCCATCACCTATTTTTCCAGAGAATATCCAAAAATTCTGGCCTCTGTGATTATATAAACTTATAGTAGTATATCTGATGCAGCACATATGTATTTATGTTATTTTATACATTTAAAAACATATATATTCATATGTATATGATTTATCACATTCAAGATTATATTCTTTGTTGTCATATTTCCTGAAATGTTTATTAAAGATTTATTTATTTGAGAGAGAGTGAGAGCGAGTGGAGGGTGAGAGGAAAGAGAGGAAGAGGGAGAGAGAGAGAGTCTTAAGTAGGCTCCATGCTGAGTGCAGAACCTGATGCAGGACTCAATCTCACAACCCTGAGATCATGACCTGAGTCAAAATCAAGAATCAGTTGCTCAACTGACTGAGCCACCCAGGCACCCCTTGAAATATTTTTATTCAAAGTCTTCATATGCACGTTTATCACCACCACCAGAACTACTTTCACACAGTTTAACACAAGTTTCTGCAGGACTGTTTCCTAGCGGAGATTTAAACATTTAGGTCGAACTCATTTAGCAAGCATAGAATGCCACCCACCATAAGCATTTATCAGAGAATATCATATCTAGGACTCTACTCTGTAGACAATTGGCAGTCCTATTACTACTGAAAAAGTGAGAAAAAGAAAAGGCAGAAAGGAGTCTCAAGATAATTCTGAAAGCTCAAACCTTGAAGGTAGCATAATGAACGAGAAAAAAGAAGTGAGGAAGAGAACCCTTGCAGGGGTAGAAGCAGAGAGCAGAGTTCTAGAATTGTTAAGTTTGACTTGGCCATGGGCCAGTGGAAGCTGGTGGAAGAAATCATGCTGCATACATAAAGCTCTTTCGTTTTAGTCAAACATTATCCCTTCTCTTTGATTTTCATGCATTTCCCAACTGTATCTACATTACTCCTATGAAACTTCACTAGACTGTAATTATTATAGATTTAAATAATATCTAATTTTAATGGAACACTACTCCCTTACAGGAGTAGCTGACCTAAAGCATACATAAGAACTCAAATGAGATGATGGTCCATTAAGTTGAAATCCTAGAGGTAAAACAAAGATAGCTCAGAGACATATATAGAAACTGGAATACTTCCTTGCATCCAAAGTAAATATGGGGTTTCAGAAGGAAATAATCACTTCTATTAAATGTTACTGAAAGTCTAAGAAAAATTATCAGGGAAGCATTAAACTGAAAGCTTCCTGAAGAAGGAGACCACATGGTATTCATTTGAGTATGCCATAATGCCCAGCAGAGAAAAGGCCCTCAGTAAAATGTTGAGGATGAAGAATGAATTTTTTTGCATTATTAAAGACAACAGGCCCCAAATGGAGTCACTTATGCTAAGCTCCATGTCACCAAAGTGAGATTTAACTTCATTATGATTTTGGCTCTCTCAGAAATGGAATCTTAAACCAGTTAATCAGGAATTGCTTGAGCAGCATTAGTTTAGGTAACCTGCCTGACAGAACCCTACCATCCCTCCTAGAGAAAGTAACTGCAATAACCAATCTGCTTTTGTGCTGTAGGAGTAGAAAACTTTTCCCTCCTTACCTTCTAGGTTTTTTGCTAGTCCAATAATCAAATTGACATAAGACAGATTAAGAGGGGGAAAAAAAACTCAGATTTAATTATATACCTATGGGAGTCTCACAAAGACATGAAGACTGAGAGGCAGTCAGGCAGTTGAGGCTAAGGAGAAGGGGGTAGGGGTCTAGATCCTCAAAAGGGAGGAAGACAATTCACAGGAATATGAGAAGAGCAAATGTTTGGTAAACAATCATTTGCCACGCCAGGTAGTTAAGTCTTATTGATATTAAAAGTTATCTCTGGTAATAGCTCTCTTCCTGGTGCAGGCCCCTGTGTAAATTCTTGTAGGCAGTTAAGGGAGATGTAAAAAACTTTTCCAGAGTCTGCTGGGTCTCAGTTGCCTTCAGTTCGAAACAATCCCCATGCCAAAGTGGCACATTTTGGGATAGCATATTCTGCTCCCCCTATTGCCTAAGTACAACTTCCTTGTTCTTGCTTCTTTCTGCCTATAAAATCTCTTGCCTTGTACAGCTCTTCCGAGCCTCTTTCTATCTGCTAGATTGGATGCTGCCCAATTCATGAATTGCTGAATAAAACTGATAAGAGATTTAAAATTGACTAAGGTGAATTTTGTTCTTTCACAGCCTTTTACAGACACTGTTATCAAGTGAAGGGTAGCAGAATATTCCACTCCAAAATATACCTCTTTGGCACACCAATTATTTTGAGAAACTGCAGAACAGGAGCTCTAAAAACAGAGTAGAAGTCACCCTTTTGTAAGGAAAACATACATTTATAAAGGAAATTTACATTAGAAAAGGGGCCCCCTTAGGGGACCCTTTAGGGGAGGGTAGAAGGGTGGTTAGGCCTCAGCTAAGAATCTAGAAGGGTAGAGGGGAAATTATTTTTCCTCTCCTACATGAGACTTGTTTTCTTCTTTTCATTTTGAATTTATCTCAAGACCTAACTTCATCAGTGCCTAAGACAGTATCTACGATTCTCCTTTGTCAGTATATTTTATATCTGCTCAGTTTTACAGAGTTGAGTTTCCTAATTGATTTAATTACACTTTTACATGCTAGGTTTTCCATTTGCGTATTTCTGCCAGGTTTACACTAAGTAGAACAAAATAAATCAGATGTAAGGAGTTATTAAATCCTCAATTTGATCTCCAAACATTTTTGAATTTCTCATTTGTTGCACAAAATCAATATAACTTCACTTGTATAAAAGTCCTTATCCACTGTCATCGAATTCCAAAGTAAAAGCTAATAACAATTATGATTACTTTGAATTTAGTACATTTATTTCCATGATGAAATATATGCATGTATCTTAGATTAATGACCCAAATTTAATAACCATATTGCTACATTCAAATGTTGAGGAATTTTATCATAGCCAACATATCCTGATAGGCATGTATTTCCTGATAAAAGAACAATAAATTTGAGTGGCTTGGCATTAATTCCAAAATCATTCTTCCATACTTGCATCCTCACACCATAAAATGTCAAAACAGAAACCACCCATGTTAATGTCAACACTACTGGGACTTATACCAACAAAAGTGCTGCAAGAATAACATGACAATTCCAAGTACCATGGAATTTAATGATGCTATCAGAAAACTGTTTCATTTCCATAATGCACAAACAACAAAGATTTCTTTAAGTGTCAGAACCTTTTTTTTTGGTTCACAGTTAATATTTCATTAGATATTAAAACACTACTTTCTTTAGGTAAATAAAAATTATAATTAAAGTTTTCTAAAAGAAAAGATATAAATACAACTTTCTAAAATAAAAATGGCATTAGAATGTTTGCCTTACTGAATTAAAGCATTTACTTTAATAAATCAATCATCAAGGATCAAGAGTAGGACATGGTAAAATTAAAACAAAAGTCATGTGCTTTCTATTTTAAAATTATAAAAACATTTTAAAAGTTCCTATTTTATGTAATAAAGACACACTTGATAAATATTGGTTTTCCGGCCATTTTATATCAATAAAACTTTTCTAATAGAGCAACACACTTTTAAAATATTCTATTTCAGTGATAATGATATCACAACAATCAGCTTTCAGTATGTCACTAATGGCTACCATATTGAAGAAACTTCAGGAAACATTTTAGCATATGAAAGCCATAGATCATAGTTTATTGCATTTAAATTCATCATCATCATCATCTACTGTGTGTCATGTAATATATACTTTATTATTTCTAATTCTATTATCAACCAAGTTTGGGAATTAACATATTCAACTTTACGGATATTGAAATTGAAGCTTAAACAGATTAACTTGTGCAAAGTCACAGAAGTACAGAAGAGCTAGAATTTAAGCCTGCATCTACTTAATTCAAAAGCCATGCTTTTACCAAAATAAATTCTTCCAGAATCACTCTCAGACTGCTGCTTTAAAATATTTTCATTCTTAGATGCAATTCCCTTAAATAAGATACCATAATGGTCATGCATAAGAAGGGTAAAAAGTTTTCAAAGATAAAAGAAATGAAGTCACAAATGGAATTAAGTTTAATTATAAAGGGAAGTGAGTTGGTTTCCTAAGTGTATTTATTTTTGTGAATGAAAAATTTATTTAAAAATCAATGGTATTGGGGTGCCTGGGTGGCTCAGCTGGTTAAGTGTCTGCCTTCGACTCAGGTCATGATCACAGGGTCCTGGGATCAACCTCTGCATCGGGCTCCCTGCTCAGTGGGGAGTCTACTTCTTCCTCTCCCTCTGCCCCTCCCCCCACTCATGCTCTCTTTCTCTCAAATAAATACAATCTTTAAAAAAAAATCAGTGATATTAGAAAGTAAGAGTTATAATAGTTTTATATTATGTGCTATCCTACATTACAGTTTCAAAGCAGTATACATAGTATTTTTATTCTGCTGTTGTTTTAGTTTTATATTATGGATATTATCAACCAAAAAAGTTTATTTTTTCAGTGAAAGTTAATTATATCATAAAAATGATTATTGTTTATAAATAAATGAAATTATATCGATGGAT